CAGCTGAACCAGATTATTGTTGTAGGTCCCTTCCAACTGAAATATTCTATTCTAGATGCTGTGAGATATTCAGCACCATCAAGAAAGAACTGTTGTTTTTAACACTATAGGAAACAACACAGGAGTACTCTACACCCACCCAAAACAAGATGCTTTGTAGAAACGTTGAGTAGCTCATGGCAACCTAGCCATCCCCCAAAAAACAAAACAAAACAAGAACAAAAAAAAAACCAAAAAAAAACCAACCCAAACAACCCATAAAGTTCTGGGCWGAACAAAGATGTCAACAGTGGTCTCCATTCTGCTTACCCGGCTGTCCCCGAGGTTGGCTATGTAGAGAATATTGTCAACAGCTAAGACACAAGTGGCTGTGGAGCCATCCTTCCATGCTGGCTTCCTGAAGAGAACAAAAATGAGATTATTGAAGGAGAAAAACAATGCTTAAGAAGTTAAGTCACAGGGTGTTCTCAAAGGAGAGTCATATGCACACACATCAGGCAGCACAAACCCACAGCAGCTGCCTGCGAGCAGTGCAGGAAACTGTTGGTGATGAACATCAAACTGGACATGGACAGAGGAACCACACAGAATACTGACTTCTGAATGCACAGCCAGTGCCAAGCTGGTGTAAATACTGCCAAACACAGCTCCTGCACCAGCCCTTCCTCACACCAGCTCACAGGAAACCTTACATGTGAGCAGAACAGGSTCAGCCCAGATCACTGCCCAGAAGCTAAAGCACAGAGAGCAGACAAGCTTCCCACACTCCTCCTGGGAGGCTCCTTTGCAGCAAAAGGAAGGCACAGCCCACTCTGCAGCAGAGTTATCTTCTYTTCTGCCTACATTTTCCTTCCTTTTCTCACAGTACCCCTGCCCCCTCCCCCACCTCAGCAGCACCACCACTTGCTCAGATGCTCTCCTATTTAATTTCCTGTAGTTAAGCTTTTATCTCTAGAGCTCTAGGTAAAACGAGAAGCATTTCTTGGATTACAGCTGCCAGACTAGTCCTCTCCACAAAGAAGCCTAGCTATGATGCTGTTATTCACTGAAACTAGCTTTGAGAGACTGATTTCTGGACATATTTCATCCAGTTTTTTCTTACTTTGAAGGTGTGGCTGAATGAACATGAATTAATTTCACTATCAACACAGCTATTGCTAGCAATCCATTGTAGTGCTTTTGTCCTAAGTCATGCTTCTGACCAGAGGCTGGTTTGAGAAAGACATTATTGTGACAGACTCAAGAAAGGTTCTTTCTTTTGCCTGGTCAAGCTTCTTGTTCTGATTAGGCTTAAAGAGACTGAGCCAGTTTGCAATTTATTTAAAATTGAAAGTTTTCAGGCAAATGCAGAATCAAATGCATCAACAGTCTCTCCATCCATGACAGAGGTGTCATTGTGAAATAATAGTAGTAAAAAAACCAAACCATATCGGTGTAAAGGGCTGGTAACAGAGTGAGTGTATTTTAAAGGCAATGTACATGTTCCCTAGTTCACACAGTTGGTGTGTCAGTTCAGCAGAGACTGAGAGAAGGTCAGGGAGCTTGGCAATTCACACCCAGCTGCAAGGCAGGCTGGCATTTACCCTACAGAGGAACATTCTTCAACATCTCTTGTTTTAAGAAAGCAAGATCTAAACTTACACTGGAAGAGTTACGTTTTTCAACACAGGGTATTAAAAGCTACCTCAAGGATGGGTTCCAGACTGGCAAGCACAGCTCTGAAGAAAGTTGGCTTAGTGGCCTCTACAGATAYCCTCCTGCCACACTGATGCCATCCACAGAGAGGGGCAGTATGGGGCCAGTCCCTTTAGCAACATGTCAAGTCTTTAAAAAGGTGGCAAACAAGACACCCTGACAAGGACAGAGGTGGTCCTTGGACCTGTTTTGCTTCCTTCCTTATGAGGAACATGTATTCCAGTCTAAGGGACAACATGCCATKATCTAGCTCTAGCAAGCATCAGCTGGCAGAGTCACAGCCTGACACRGTGGAGCTGTGTTTTGCCCAAGCACAGACAGGACACAAGGTTTCCTCTGCCCTGTTCAGAACTCAGACCTCAGTGGTGCACACTAAGAAATATAAAAGAACACAAAKCATTTGCACTTACTGGCTGGATGCTTGCTTTAGAAACTCTTCATCTGTGTGTTTGAAGGTGTCCAAAAGGCACCTCTTCACAGTTTTCTCCACGCTGACTACCTCACCTGTCAGACAGAGAAAACAGCAACTAAGCTCCAACTAAAGCATATTTATCTATCCTAGTCTGTTCTTTTGCTCATCTAACATTCAGTCAGGCAAGTGCATGTCTTGGGCTCTGCAGAGCAGCTGGGACATCCTGGCTTTACCCTACCAGAARTCTGTGCAGTAGCAAATGTGGAGAGTTTACTCCTGTGGTGGCAAGGTTTATGYCATATTTTTATAATTGAAGTGGCACTGCCAAAATTGGCAACAGTGCATCTCACACTTGTTTAGCGAGTCACAAYTGGCTACTTGCACCTTTGTGCCAAAAAGCCTTCCTGCCTCTTCCCCAGGACACAGAGCAGTCTTGCAAGCCCTCTGGGAATGAAGGATGGGAACTGTAGGATTACACCCAAACAGATCAGTTTCCCTATTCACTGCCAAGGCAGGAAAGGTAACAGGTGTCTTACAGCCCTTATTCCACATYTCTCACCTTTAGGAAATTTCTTAATCAGGTTTTGATGCAGATTCTGTGCAGCAAATTTTGAGGCTCGGACTCCCCCATGGCCATCAAAAACAGCAAAGTACGAGACACGTGTGCTGTGAGGGAACAAAAAGCAGCAGAAAGAGACTAAGAAAGGCCATTAGSCAGGAAATGGGATCTAGTACATTCCTCTCCATAATACCCTGCCCTGTATTAGCCAGACCGAAAATCCTGCACTCCAAGGCACAAAAGGTAGCGTTCTCTGAGCTCACACATTCAGCATTTACATGGTTTATGTGCTCCAGCACTGAGCTGAGAACTTTCTTGCAATTTTCCATTTCTCAAGAAAATGAAGAGCAGAAGGGTTTAGAGAACACAACTTGGTCTAAAAGTAGATAAACATTTCACCTCACAGACACTGCAACTCTCCAGCATTACAGACATCAGTCTAGCCAATCCTACAGTACCCTCTGTGCCTGAAGTTGTTTCAACTATGCTACAGACAAAAAAACTTGGATCTCTCAGCACACAAACCTCTTGGGACAGTGCTAGCTCTCAAGTTAAATCCAGCATCAGGGTGATGCTTGAGAACATTCCTTTAAATACACATCCCCAATTACATTTAAGTAACAGAGGATCAACATCCAGAGTTATCGGGCCCTCATGGTACTTGCAATGTCAGTGACTGAATCTACTAAGCAGCCCTCAGAGAGGATTCTGTACACAGGAGCCCTGTGAATTGCCTGGGAACACAGCTGATGATTCACTGCAGGTMTCCCAAAACCACACACCACAATACAGGCAGACAAGAGCATCAGCTGCTCAAAGCAAAAAGGATCATCTTATGGGCTTAGCTGAAGCAAGCTGGAGCTCCCTCATCCACAATGGCTGTTCTGGCAGTTGGGGCCCACTTACATTTGGGAGGGCAGAGGCTGGCACTCCTCRGTGATATCATTTAAGATGACATGTGCATCCTGCATGTCTTCTCTCTCCCCTTTTCTCTCTGCCACATAACCCTTCAGTCCAAGAATGCCCACTGATCCTAAAGGGGAACAAAGCAGATGCATGCAAATCAAACTCCTCTGTCTCCTYAGCTCAAGCTAAAAACCAGTAAGTTCTTAACTTTCAGAGACCTTGTCCTGCAACAAAACATCTAGCATCTGCTGATGAACAGCATCTATTTATTTAGTAACATGGGTTTTTATGTGTCTCCAAGGTCAGCACTCTAAAAGCAGCCTGCCCTCCTTTTAGCTGGCAGCTGTAGCCAAGCCAAGGACTGCTGGGCATCAAACAGGGCTCTTACCAAACAGGGGTGGGGGACAGGGAGGGCAGGGGAAGCACGTGGCACTGAACCTGCAGATTAAGTAAAGCACAGCTTTAAAGAGTGTCCTAAGGACAGGAAATCCAGGTCTGATGTTCCCAGGACGTGTTCTTTCCTTTGTACCTCTGAATACATCTTAGTCCCAAAGCTGCAACAGAGCACACAGACACTGAAGTCAAAGGCCCTGTATGCAGCTGTCTCAATCTCTCCCCCTCTCTGGCTTCCTTAGCAGCCAGCTGAGAGATCCGTGGCAAAGCCAAACCCCCTCTTGGCAGCACAAGCTCCTATGCTGCCAGTGCTGAGATGCTGCTCAGCTTCTGCTACCTCAGCAGGGACAGTAAGAAGGCCCAGGTGAAGGAGGCAGACAGAGCCAGGAAGCTCGAGGGGCTTCCACAAACCCCTGCAGCAGTTTGTTCCCTACAAGAGGCTGAAAAGGCAAGCAGACTGAAGAACCAAAGCTTAGCTTTGTTCTGGACTTACTCAGCCCAACGCCAAAAGTACAAATTGAGTACATTTGTTTTCAAACTGTCTGAAAACCTTTACAAACTTTCTTTTCCACAAGTTCTTCCCTGCCATTCTYCTCTTCCTCCTCCTCCAAGGACTTCCTCTTCTGCCCTTTCTCTTGGCTCTCTGCTGATGAGTCTTGCTTGGTAGCACTGGAGGCTGAAAGAAAGTAAAATTACAGGTGGCTCAAGTGTTCCAGCACTATTTTACCTGCATCAGTTCAGCAGCAATTCCTTTTATACCACATCACCCTCGGGGTGCAGGCTCACACACTCACACAGCATTAAGTGCCCAGAGTTATTGCTGAACAAGACACCCTGACCACAAATGGATACACAGAGCTTCCCACAGCCCACACAACCTGTGGCACACATCACTGCCTGACCACTGCTGATTTCACCACTCCATGCTCTGTGACTCCACCTCAGGCACAGGATAGCCACTGGCTGCCAGGCTGCTGATTCTCCCCAACAACCATGGGGAGAACTTATTTTAGCTAAGGTGGGGTCTGTCCCCCCCATCCCCAGTTAATTGCTCAGGAAGCTAATGTTACAGGCTAGAACCTTTCTAGTTTATKATTATTATCACTATTATTATTGATTTCCTCTATGATCTCCGCCCCCAACAATGCAAAGAAATTCTTTTTATTACTCCAAACGTGTGTATTTTTTAGAKGGTTCAGAAGGAGACTACAAATTAAAGCTAGCAAGCAAAACCTGGCATCAGAACTCTGGCTTTTTCCTTCTGGAGATTTAGTCTCATATGGTATAATGAATTACCCCACCTCCTCCCAGGTGAGAGCAAGCACATGGCTGCATGCAGAATGCCTTGCCAGTGCAGCAGTCTGCATTTGAAGCCTTTTTCAGCAAGGAACAAGGAGGCAGCTTGTGCCTACAGCAGAAAAGCAGCCAGAGCAGTGGCTGCACCAGGGCACACACACACTTGACCTCCCAGAGCAGGGAGCTTTCAGACAGAGAATGGGGAACCCCCCCATAAGACAGAAATGTACTTCTGGGAACAGGCCTAATTTTACTTCTTAAGRTTCAGAATCGTCATTTAAACAATTGGGGCACAAATTGCCATGACAAATTGCCATAAATTACCAGCCAATCTGGACTGGAAAAATATACACCAGGTTAACTTGCAATGGGTGCAACACAACAGGTTGCATCCTGGGCTTTTCCAAGAGGGGTGACTGAGCAGAGGCTGGTGAATGACACAACTCCTTACCTGGGTCACCGCTGCTGGCTGGTGGGAGACCATCAAAGAGCAAAGAGCCTCCTTTTCCTGGAGCACAAGAAAAAGACAAAAGTAACTAAATATTTTTGTTCTTTTCAGGGAATAAGGCTTTGCCTATGTGTCTCTACTCAGGTGAAGAAACTACGTCAGTTTACCAAAGAGAGCCAAATKTCTACTTCCATTACTAGTTGGGCAAATCCAGGCTTTGCATTTGTTCCAGGGAACATTTATATGGAATGTTTTATAGAATGTATGTGGAACATCTGTAACACCATACACATTTACAAAAAAATCAAGTGGGATGCAGCTGGTCTGCACACCAGTACTATAAACCCATAGTCTTTATTCTGTCTAACAAAGAACAGGATTTACACACATTTCATCTGAATGAGATGCTGATACAGAAAACATGGAAAACCAAACCAGTGGCAGGAACAGAACAACCATACCTGAGTCAGCACTGCTGGATGGTGGGAGATCATCAAACAGCAGAGGCCCTTTCTGGGCATCTTTCCCTGCAAGGCACCAGGGCAGAGTCAGGAACAGTGCAGACACTCCTGAGCTGAGTTGTTCTGAAAGGCCTTCCCCCCAGCCAGCATAGAGGTGGTAAACCAGGACAGCCTTACTTCCACCTTTAATTTTAGCACCTGCTACACAAGCAAAATAACCACCTGCCCGGGGCTGAGGTGAAGTGTAGTCCTGAGAATAGGTTTTGGAGTTTTTTTGCTTAGCAATTCTCTGAGCTCGCATTAACACCCCTCAGCAGTACAGGGAGGGGAAAAGCTTCAACATGATCTAAATCGCAGACAACTGTAGTTCATGCACAACATGCAACATGGTCTAAACTGCAGCGGGAAAGGGGGAAAAGAAAACCACAAAAACCACCAAACCCGGCAATTTTCCCAGCGATTTTTAACCCGCACCCTCACCCGCCCCCTTGCCCCTCAAGCTCCTTGTAGCGGCGGCCTGGCCGTGCACGGCCGAGCTGCAGCAGGCCCGGCGGGGCCCGCGGCCTGTCAGACCGAGCCCAGGTGAGGCCAGGGGCCGGGAGCGGGCAGAACGGAAGCAGAGCACGGGCCCGAAGGGATGGCGGCCTCACCAGCGGCGCCGCCGGGCTCGGGCAGGTCCCCGAACAGATCCATGGCCGCCGGCCGTGCCGCCAACCCCGCGCGGGGCCGACCCGCACCGCAGCCGCCCCGGGCCGGAAATGGGCGCGCCGCCCGGCGCTGAGGGGCGCCAGCGGAAACACGCTTTGGCCCCGCCCACCAGGTGCTCGTCAAACCGCCTCCACCAATCGCAAGGGGGATCACGCTGTCAGTCAGCGCCGCCGCCCCGCCCCCCGCCCCGTTGGCCGGTCCCGCTAGGGGGCGCACTCTCAGTGGCGCGGGCGCTGCCCGCCCTCAGCTCGCGTCCCAGCGCCTCCCGCCCCGCCGGCCCCGGACAGGACGCTCAGCGCACGCCAATTGCGTTAAATGCGACATTTATTTCAGAACCGAACAAGCCTCACGTGCGCACGGACGGCCAGGACCCGCAGTACTGCCCCCTGGCACGCGGCAGGGAGCGCCGGCGGGGACCGGAGAGCGGCCTCCCTCCTCTTCTGGCTCCAGCCYGCCCGCCGATGCCCGCCTGCCTCCCGTGCCACCCGCTGCCCTGTGGAATTTCCCTTCCGGTTGGGCTTATAGTCTTGCTGAAACCTCCGGTTTGCATTCCTTGCCGAGRGGATGGGTGCCAGGACCATGACAAAGGAGCGCGGTGCTGGTCAGAGCGCTGCTGTAAGATGGCAAGGGTGGCCCGTGTGCCGCATCCAGCGGGAAGCCCTGTCTTCCTCGGCCCCSACCTCCAGCCCAGCCGCCTGCTCTGCAGGTTTGCTGGCCTCAGGCATGCTTTGGCTCTGGCTGGAGGATGCCTTTTTGCTGGCTGCGTCTTGTCTGTGGCACAGGCAGCACCACACAGCTCTGGCCGGCGAACCGGTGTCTGGTCCCTGACAGACACTGGTCCTGTCTCTGCCAGAAGCRGCTTTCATTCTGGAAGAGCCTCTCCTCAGGTACCCTGCTTCTCCACCCTTAGCCCCTTACATTGAAATCTGGGGTGGTACCAACTAGTCTTTGCCCAGAGCACAGGAGCTAGGATATTGCAGCCTTGGCCCCTGCACTGCCCCAGCTCAGCCTCTCCGTGCCTCCAGGCTGGCACCTCTTCATCCATAAAGGGCACAAGTCAGCCTCCAGGTCTAAAATGGATCACAGAGAGGAAAACAGACCAGTTTGATGGAGAGCTTGTCGTGGGCAGGGGAGCAGGGCTGAGAGGAGCAGCCCCACTGCAACTATGGGCTGTAATAATGGGGTAAGACGCCCAAGGAGCTGTGGCGAGACCAGGCAGAACCAGCATGTGCTTAAGAAAAATCCCCAMACTTTCTGTGACCTGAAACCCAAGCTAAAGGGTGCCTGATATGCAGCAAGGAGGCCCATGCAAGCCTCTACTCATCTGCCGTGTCCCTGCCTGTCCGTGCCCCCCACAATACGAGTATAACAAGAAGACAGCACCACGTCCCACACACACACACACACACGCACACCCACACCCCACAGACAGTGCAGGGAGGTGCGGCAGAGCCAAGGCGCAGCCGTGCTGGACAAGAGACAGCAAAGCTGGGGGGTTGCCTGGGAGATGCACGGAGGAAGATGCCCAGCTTCCCACACGGAGCTGTGCCAGATGCTGCTGGCCACTTGGGAAGCTCTGAACAAAAACATCTAGGTGAGAGATGGGAGAAGAGAGAGAGCTGCTGCTGGAGGAGGTGGGAAGCAGTGATGGCTGGAGGAGAAGGTGTTTTCAGCAAAAACACCTCCGATGTGGGAAGCCCCCAGATTAACATGCTGATGAAGGCAGGGTGGAGGGAGGGGGGTGCTCGCTTCTGCAGTAGAGGGAGAGTGAGAAAACATCAGCTATAACAGAAAAAAGAAGCCCCATCCCCACCCTGACACCCTTTGATCTGCTTTGAGCCTGTCATCCTGCTGGGAGAAGAAGGGATGTGCAAGCCCTTTWGGGAAAGGGCAAGAAGGACCGTGTAAGGGTGGGATGGTCATTCCTAGTTGTGGCTCCTGGGGAATTTTCCCATTTCCACCTGAACCTCCACACTCCCTGCAGGGTTGGAATCCTTGGCATCCTGCCCTAAGAGTGGGAAATCCCTTTGGATGAGACATGTGGGGATTCCAGGATGGGATAGTGGAGGTGGCCCACATGCTTTTGGTTGGATAGGGTAGCCCAGCACAGGGTGACAGGCAGAGCCATCCCCAGAGCTCTCCTTTTCCCTCCACTAGGACCAAGCTCCAAAGTGCAGTGACCCATCCGCATGGACGTGGGTGCCCTGGCCAGCTGAGACTGTGAGCTCCTCCCTTCCAGAGGTAGATGGGGCAGGTAGGAATTGCCTTCTTTGGGAAGACGTGGTGGGCTGTCTGGCCACTGCTTAGGGGGAAAATCGTTTGAGCTGTAGGGGAAGGCAAAGGAAATGGTTGGGGAAGGGCATAGAGTGAGGGTGAGAGCTGCACTGCTGCCAGGCACAAGCCAGGGATGTCCTGGGAAGGCATCTCCGGAACCCAGCCCACCACCAAGGCTCTCCCCTGCCTGGGGGAGGCATTGGCTGGGGGCCAGGACTCAACTTGGGGGGATTTTTGTGATGTAAATAGAAATAAATACTTTATAAATATAATCTTAAAGTACTGACACCTGATCTTACTCCGCTGCCTCTTGCAGAAACATCAGTAAATTAGGGAATTCCCACACCTAAATTACCACTTTCCCTTTGCCTGAGGGCAATTCCTCCTGCTCTCCCAGCTCTGAGCTTTACTGCATTCCCATCTCTCTAGATCAAAGACCAGCTTTTGGCCACAATTACCCTTCTCACCCCCTCCCCTCTGATAGGGACCTTTTTTTGAGCATTAGATGGTGTGATATGAAGGTCACCCATGGGGGGACAGGCAGAAGATGGCACGTGCAYGAGGAATCCTGCCCAGGCGGGTCCAGGCTTTTGCAGCTACAAACAGAAGTGACTTTCCCCTGTGAAGCTGTGAGTCGAGACAGATCCTTCCATGGAGCAGAGAGCTGGGGCAGCAGATGGTGTGAAAGATCAGATATTAACATGGGGAGTCTTCAGACAGAATCAGCTATCTTGATCCTGTTGGCAGACGGATGAGGTGGAGGGTGGTTTTCAGGTTAGATTCKCATCTGGGCTGTTCTCCTTCTGGACAGCTTGGATCTGATTTGGAAAACAAGGGACAAAAGGTGTTAGAGATGTGGACAAGGAGAGGTGGTACTCTCAGGTTGAGTATCCTACCTCCAGGCCAATACTTGAATCCARACAGCTGGAGGGACATAAAATTAAAGTCTCTTTAGCCAGAGCACACATATTTCTGTGCATTTATTCCTATTCCCCTAGTCCTGCCACTTGAGATGATCTCAAGAGCTGCATGAGATGTTCTTGTTGAGGAATAAATAGGTTTAGTGCAGGTAGCTTGGTGTGCAGCTGCAGTCTGAACTGCAGGGAGCCTGAGGCAGGAGTCCGTGAACTGCCGATCATTTACATAACAAAGGGTACAGGGACCTGCGGCACAGCCAGGTGAAGGACACAGCAGGAGCCCAGGAACCCAGAGGAATCCAGACTTACTGCCCTTAGACTATGCTGTGAAGGGTGTGGTGCCTGTGTGACTCAGGGAGTGGCTCCTGGATGATCAGACAGGAAAGTTTCCTCATCAGTCTCAAAAATTCTGTCAGATGGTCTCAAGAACAGTGGCAGGCCAGTGTCCTTGCCACCAGGCATGGATGTTGCTTTGAGCTCAGCACAACAACATCTCTGTACCACTTGGAATCTGGCCCCAGACTGAAGCATTTAAATGTGGATGAGCTGAATTCAAAATCAGTATGATTGAAGTTTTGCCAGCTGAGAGCCTGTCCAGGCACAGCTCTGCACAGGAGATGCTCCCCACACCTGGCTGGGGGCTGCAGCAGGAAAAGCAMTGGGAGCCTGCAGCCCCCCAACAATGGCTTCTCTGCATCCCCCTTCCCCCCAGCTGCCCTGTACCTTATGGATCCAGCCAGGAGAGGGTTGAAAGCGTAGAGCCAGTCGTGCATGTCCTTGTCACTGCTCGCCTGCAGCAGGATGCCCCGGTGCTCCGTGCACACCGCAAATGTGTTCGGGGTCTGCTGATGAGAGACAGGCTTAGTCCCTCGCTCAGTGGGGTGCGTGGAGTGGGGCTGGCTCCCAGTGCCCTACCTTGAGCATGGCCTGCTGGTCCTCACTGTACTCCACTTGGGCCTTGGAGAGGTTGAGTATGGCCCTCTCGACCGCATCCTTGTCCGAGTTGTAGATGTAGACATACGGACGCCGGACCACCACGAAGCGCTTCACCCATCCATTGGTGTGAGGCTCCAGGAAGTGCAGGTAGCCCTTTTTGGAGACGATGGGACTGCAGAAGGGACCAGGTACAGGGTGGGATACAGACCATGAGGAAGTGGCAATGGTAGGCCATGGACCCCTGCCCATAGGTGCTCCCCTCGCTGGCTGCTCCAGTTGCTCCTACCTGACTCGAATCTCCTGGATGTCAGGCACCAGCAAACGCTGGGGCTCCTTCTCCTCCTCAGGCCGGCGGGCTGGGGACTTCTTCTGCTCTCCTTCTATCACAGTCTCCAGGTCAGGACTCTCTGCCCTGGAGGACATCTGGGGGGTTCTGGGGAAGGAGGAGAGGATGGAATGTAGGAAGAGTGATGGCTAGGGAATACCCATAGACAATGACCGATTCCCAGTGATACAGCTGCTCTGCTTGGGTGTATCACCAGAACTCCCAGCCAGCTTCTTACCTGACCTCCATGGCATTGTAACGTCCTTCCACCAGTGACGGGCAGGTCGAGGAGGGGGTGAGAGTGGGGACCCCAAGAGCTGGCATGGAGGGGTCTCTTATCAAGGTCACGGACATTTCAGACAGCTGTGAAGGAATGGAGCTGTGGACTAGAGTTTCTGCACAAAGCCAGGCACATGCAAAGGACCAGGTTCCTGCTCATASAGGGTGACCCTGGCTGGCAGGGTCCTCCCCTGGCATAGTCCTGAGAAGCCCAGTTCTGGGAAAATCCAGGGCAAGCAGAGGGAGCAGACACTCCAGAGGAGGCATGACTTGTGCCATAGTGCCCATCTGGCCCCCACCCAGCCATCCCCCTGCCAGCTACCCCTCCCTCCTTGGCTCCACCAGCCCAGCAGAGCGGGGCAGCAGCTGTACCTTGCTCTCACTGGCGCTAATGCAGACGTGGCTGTGGCTGTACTCCCTGTTGAAGGTGTGCGTGAGCAGGCGCAAGCACTGCAGAGAGAGGAGGAGGACAGTGGGGCATGAGGCACATTCCACCTCCCRCTCCCCTTGGGCTTTCTCCTGCCACAGCCCCTAGCCGCCCTGTGGAAGCCACTTCCCGGCTTGATCCCCACAAGCTGGGGATGCTGCAGCATGGTACCTTCACTGCCAGCTCCTTCTGCCTCTCGCTGGGAGTCTCAGGGGGTGAGGTGCGGCCTTCAGGGGCCCCGTCAGCAGAAAGTGGGGAGGAGATGCAGGAGGTGCTTCGGGACTCAGAATCCTCACTGGAGCAGGGTGACAGGGTCTCCATGCCCAGGCGCTGGGTCGTCTCCAGCTTCTCACGCAGTAACAGGTAGTGTCTCGTCTTCTCCACCTGGGCACAGACACTCAGGCTCAGGGGTGGCCCTTTCCCCCATCACCAGGCCTCATCAACCCCATTTACTAATTAGCTTTGGATCTGCTGGGATCTAGCAGTGATACACAGGAGTACTGGCAGCACAGCCCCATTCCTGCCTTCTCCCACAACCAAGATAGCTGCCACACACGCTGGGTGGGGAATCCCCCCAGCACCAGCAGAGCTGTGAATTGCACCATTTCAGCCCTTTTCTAGCCCAGACTCTTACTTCTTGCAGGAGGCTGAGCTTCTCCAGCTCCCACTGATGGTCAAGGATGAGGCTGTCACTGCGGGGCCGCCAGCCAGCCAGGTTCTCCTCTCCCCGGACGTAGGCTACAGAGGTGTCCAGCACGCGCCGGCGCCTTCTCTGCATGCCTGTGAGCACAGATGCACAGTTGGGGACACAGACAGACAGCCCCCAGCCCAAATGCCCAGCTGTGCCTCCCTGCCCCWGCCGAACAGGCATGGCACCCACCTGGGCTGCCGGCATCAGCCACACGGCAAAGGCTGAGCTCGTAGACTCCTGTCACACGGTTGCTGTGAGCAAAGAGAGAGGAAGCATTACTGGCTTTGCCCCATYTCCACACCCCAGTTATTTCACCCAGGCCGCTGGGAGGCCCTAGAAAAGCTCCACTCTCTGAGTGATGGCGCTCTTCTCCCCAACTGGAGCATCCTGGTACCTCTCAGAAGCCCGCAGGCTGCCGCTGCCAAAAAGATTGCGGATGGAGCGCGAGGCAGGAAGCTTAGCATCACGGGAGTAGAAAACCATGCAGAAGTCTTTGGTGATGACAGCGGGCTGAGTGCAGTTCTCCATCTGCAGTAGGGAAGGGGGAGGCATCAGGGGGGCTGCAGGCTGGCAGCCCAGCAGGTCTCTCCCACCCTTGTGCCCAGCAGGTTCCACTCCCACGGGGCCCCCAAGCACCAGGTTGAACCCTGCACCCCATAAGCATTGGCTAAGGAAGGGCTCACCCTGGCTGCACCCCAACAGCAGGGGAAATACCAGACTTTKTTGATGTATAGTGACCCCAACCAAGGTCCTTGCCTCGATGTAAGCTGACAGGGTGATGTAGATCTTCTCCCGGTAAGGGGTGACACGGTTGAGCAGCAGCGAGTTGTGCATGGAGCTATCCCACGCCGCCTCAAACTGGTAGAAAGTCCTGCCAAAAAAAGCCAGCAGGGCCAGTAAAACAACCTCCCCAGAACCCTTGGCAGGCGAGCAAGGAGATGCCATTGTTCCCCCCACAGCGCTGCAGCAGGCCTGCAAGGACACACAGACATGCATGCGCAGTGGGGACAGRTAGGGACAGCCACTCCAGAGGACACAGGCTCAAGGCAAAGGGCACAAGGCATGGTGGCAGGAGGACACGGCACCCTTGAAATGGCCAATGGACCGGGGTTTTGGAGAGGAGGGACCGTGGGAGGAGTGGGGTGCTCAGATGGGGTGCAGGCAAGGCAGAGCAGGCTGGGAAGGCAAAGGAGGGTGAAGGAGGGTTCATGCCCCACCCCCGTGTTCAGAGTAGGGGCTGCCACCCCCAGTGCACCCGGGACAGTCCCCACCATCCAGCCTGGGGTACAGCACCTCCCAGTCCCTGCCAGGAGTGGCTGTTGCCATTTGGGTCACGATGGCCAGAAGGGAAAGGAGGGAGGATGCTCAGCACGGAGCGGGTGCTGCCAGCCCACCTCTGGGAGCACAGAGCCCCCCACCAGCCAAGTCCCCTTCCCCTGGGCTGCCCCTGTCTGCCAGCCCTGGGCCCCAGTGAGAAGCCAGAGACCATGATGTAGTGACTGGCCCCTGTCAGGCTGTCTCCCCTGGCTCTTGCTCTACCCTCATCGCCAGCCCCATTCCCATTCTGCTGCCTCTGACCCCTTTGCTGTGTTTCCCATGGCTCCCAGGCTGGGAGAAGGAGCAGGGGACAGCGGGTCCCACTCATCCATGCCTACAGCATCCTGAAGAGGATGACACAGCTCCCCCAGATCAAGAGTGGCAGCTGCCCTCCCTTGGGTTGAGTAGCTGAGGGTGAGGAAGCAGGAGGTGGCTCCAGAGAGAAAGCATGGGGGATCCCTGTTTCACCCCCTGCACCACTCCTGACCTCCCTCCCTGGTCAGCCTTGGCTTTATGGTACACCCACTCCCCAAAACCACCCAGAGCTGCTGCGGACCCGGCTCCCGCCTGAGCATCCTCAAGAAGCTGTGGTTCAGCCACATCTCAATGAGAACACTTCAGCACGTCCCTCAAGCAGCATCCACGTGGCTGAGGAGCAATTTTAACAAGAGCCAGGGCAGCCAGCGGGAGCGGGCAGAGGTTCTCGACTGCAATTTCCCCCATGTTGGAAGAAAAGGGAGAGTGATGCTTTCAACAGGTGTAAAATACAAAACCCCCCCGGCGTGAGACACAGCCAAGGCAAAGGATCGCTTTGCAGACACAGGTTGATAAAGAAAAGAGCGCTCCCCAAGGAGGAGGAGGAGAAGAGGAGCCTCAGGGGAAGGGAGAAAGAGCAAAAAGCAAAGGGAGGAGGCAAAGGGGAAAAAGAGAAAAGCAGGAGGGACCAGACCGAGCAGGTGCGCGTGAAATACCTAGTGTCATTTCCCAGCGAAATGCTATAAGTGGAAGGTGACCCAAGGACAAACACACACATGTACACACACAGAAAAACGACAGGTCAGAAGAGCCCCTCTGGAAGGGACTCGCCCATATCAGCACCACTGGMCAAGGGAGCTCCTGCCTAGCTGAACCCAAAATGGGAATCAAAAGGAGCTCAGCAAGGGCAGACAGAAGCTTGCCAGACTGGGTGAAAACCCTCTGCCTCCCACTTTCCTCACGGTCCAGCAGCTGGGAAGGGAGCACAYGCTCCCTATCCCCTTAACTCTGCCCTTGTGCCATCCCAAGGCAAGGAGCTCCCACCCAGCGCAGTCCCCTGGGACAGTGCCAGCTGGGGGGATGAGCCGTCCCACCGCCGCTCACACAGCAGATGACTTCTTGGCCCACCCCTGGTCCACAAGGAAAGCATCACTGTGCTGAGAGACAGGCAGTGCTCCCTCTGGGCAGTGCCAGTGTGAGCCCATCTCTCTTGCAGGGGGAGGCTGGATCAAGGCTGTATCCGCTTTCCTGCACCCTGGGAGGGGACAGAATGCTGCTGGAGAGACAGCTCTGCCCTCAGACATCGTGGTCTTGAGCAGGACCAGCTTTGAGTTGCTGCAGGGAGGACAGCCTTCGGCACAAAGTTTTGTACCAGGACTCAGGGCACTCCATCTCTTGTCTCCCAGACACCTGCCCCTCTTTTTCTGCCATGGGGCACAGTGGTGGGTCCGTCCCCTGGGGCCTCAGCGATGCTCCCATCCAGAGGCTGATGGCACATTCACAAACCTGGCACCTCTCACACAAATGCCAGGCTCGAACAACCTCTGCCCCTTTACACAGGGGACCAACAGTCTGTGCCACACGTGCGYGTGTGCACCTACTGTCACACCCACACACAGACACGCACTGCCCGTATGCCACACCGACACCCACAGGACAACCGTGCATGGGGTGGGCAGCCACTGCCACACCAACTGCGGAGCTGCCATCGATACCGGGTGCCCAGGAGAGGGCAAACAAAACTTCCACTGTCCTCACCAGCCCTGCAGCTACTCCAAGCAGCACCAGGGGCTGAGCTGGGGCTGGGGCAGGAGACAATGGAGGGTCCAGCACACTCAGTGCCAGGTGCCAGAGAAGATGGGAGAATGGCGAAGTTGAAAAGCAAGAATAAAACCCAAATCAGGCAATGGGGACGCAGGCGTGCGAGGGGGAGCGGCAGCCAGCCAGAGCGTGGCCCAAACGAACAGCAAAAGGGGTTGAGTGAGCAAGAGGTGCCAGCGCAGGAGGGAGGAGGGATGGGGCATGTGGGGGGATGAGGGGCTGGATGTCCAAGTGCTGCCTCTGGCGGGAGTGAGCGTGCCGAGGCAAGAGGGTAGAAAGAAAGAAAGGAGAGAAGAAGGAGGGGTGGAAAAAAAACCAATGGAAACAAATAATACCTAGGCATATCCGAATCAAGAAACTGCCTGCAAAAACACAAAACAATCACATGGTTAGTGTGGGCTTAGATGGGCAATAGCAGCTGAGGGAAGTGAGGGGGGACACCAGGCACTGCCCCCCGCGCCTCCGCCCTGGGCGCTCGACGCGGGGATGGATGCGCTGCTGAGGAGAGAGCTGAACCTCTCCCAGCTTCCTCCTGAGTGGCTCCGGGGCGCTGGGGAGGCTGCAGAGGGGAAGCTAGGGCTGCTCCAGGCAATGGAGGCTGCGTGGCACAAGGCAGCAAAAGCGGGGAGAGCAAGCAGCTGGGAGGAGGGTGAAATGGGCACTGCTCTGCTCTCTGCCTTCCTTCTGCCTGTCCTCACAGCTGCAGGGCGAAGCGTGCATGTCGGCATGTGGAGTGGAGGCAGGGGCCACTGCAGCTACCTGCGGGCAGCTGGCCACCCCTCCTCCCCCTGCCTCAGCGTGGGCAGGCTCCATGGCATAGATATGGGACAGAGATGACAAGTGCACGGTCTGTGCCCCCAAAGAGGCCCCCAGTCTCCACGCTCCTCTYCACATCCCCAGTATCCCCCCAGCCTGAGCCGTGTCCCCTTGTCCTGCAGGACTCACAGGGTGGAAGGCAGAGCAGGAGGCACATCCCTCCTGCCAGGCTACCCCAGGCATGCTGCAGATGCCGTATGGGGGGACCAACTAAACAACCATCCATGTCAGGAGCTGACAAAAAGCTGCACAGCCCCAAAAGCCCGTGGGTGCCACAGCCACCCATCTCCCAGCAAAAAAACCACCACTGAGCCGGGCCCTCCTCATCTGACCATCCCCATGTGGCCTCCCCAAGGCTGTGACAAAGTCTCCTGGTCCAACACTTGCACGCGTGCTGACCTCAGGACTCTGCTCTGCTGTCCCAATACTCCRTGCAGGTTGTTCTGTCATGTCCAGGAGCTGCCCTGAGAGTGCTCAGGGTAGCACCTCCCATTCAGACCCCCACTGTTCCTCCCAAAACACCCTGCCGTGGGACAATCCTCCTTGCAGCAGTAGTGACCACAAAGCAAACGAAGGAAAARGTGGTCCCCATTGCTCGCCAGCATGTTCCTACACCAGTGACCACAACACACACAGCCAAGGACCAGTCCTGCTGCTCCCAGTGCTGGCAACGACCATCGCTGTCTGGTTGCAGCTGCCTGCATGCACACATTTTGGACAGAGACCCCAGCCAGTCCCCCCGAGTTTCACCAGAACCCCTGGTGTAGAGCACAGCTCTGCCCTCCATATCCATGACCTTCCCGCCACTGACGGACTCACACAGGGAGATCTAGGAGATTAAAATCTTCCAGTCCTGCTTTTTTTGTACCCTGCCAAACCCACAGTGGGGACACCTCTAGGCAACCTGGTCTGGTGGAAGGTGTCCCTGCCCATAGCAGGGGATTTGGAGCGAGATCATCTTTAAAGTCCCTTTTAGCTGCAACCACWCTGTGGTTCTATGACACAGCYYGCTGGGACAGACAGGAARGGATGGGCWTCCCTGAAGTCCCCCATACTGGGTGGGAATGGCTTTCCTGCATTGCACACAGATAGGGATCTGCCATGGGTGCCAACTGGCCTTTCCAGCAATTTTGCTAGGACACAGGACCAATAGCCCTTTGTGGCACGTCCCCTCTAGCCACGGAGTTGGGACATSCTCCTGGCACCGGCACCAACTGCCTCCCTGTGCCACGCCATCACAGCCAGCACCAGAGAGCAGGACCCACACACAAATTCCCTGTAGTGCCCTCCCCAGCAAAGCAAGGCCCTGGGGAGGAGAAGGAAGGGGTTTAGGTGGCCTTATAACCCAAGAGCCTGTGCAGGTTCAGAAAAACCCTGCCTCAAGGCAGCAGTGGATCAGCAGAAGGGACAAGAGCCTTCCAGGGGAGAGAAAAGCTGCTACTCACCCCCCTCCATCCCTCACCACAGCACAGGAAGAGCAAAATAAAGCATCACGCACCGGTCATCCTGGGAGGGGTGGATGTACCCAGAGGACAGGATGTTCAGGGACAAGATGTTGGGGTCGATGAGTGACTCATCTGCTTCTGGAGTGTTCCGGATTCGACCTGCAAGCACAGCACAGAGGTGCCTCTGAGGTGACAGGCAGTGGCCCTGTGAGGGTGCCCATGAAGGCTGGGGCACACTGCCTGCCTGCAGCCCCCTGGCAGGCAGCAGTACTGGCCATTCAGCCACTGCTGGCCATTCAGCTCCAGAGATTCTGGTCCAGCTCCTGGACATGGTGGCAGGGGCTGAGGCATCCTGCCCAGGCAGTGTCCCAGTGTCACCTGCCAGACAGCCACTGCTTCACTAGTGCAGGGTAGGAGGGGAGACAAGGCATAAAGCCCCATGTGGGAACATGGGAATGTGRGCAAGAAACAGCCCAGGAAGATACCTGGGAGCTCAGTGGGCTGGGGACTGGCTTGGCTTACCCACAACCAGCTCCCGTACTTCCTTCCAGTGGATGAGGCTTCCCGTTTCATGGACCAAGGTGACAGTGATTCTCCTCTGGATGCCCTGAGACCCACGAGGCCAGAGAGAAGGGACAGTTAACACAGGATCCAACAGGAGTCAGAGCTGGGACAGCATCTGGGGCAGAGAGTACCTGATGAAGGAGGAAAGTCCCATGGCATGGCATGCCTCCACGGTGGTCCACAACGGCAGGGATGTAGCTGGAAGAGAGGATTGCAGCGTGACACAGAATCCTGCCAGCCTGCCCAGAGGTGCTGGGCCCTGGGCAAATCCCCTGCTGCCTTCTGCCCCTCTCCCTCTCCCTTTCCCAGCAGGACTCACTCGCCATTGGCCTCCAGCTCACAGATCTCGAAGAAGACCATCAGGTCATACTTGCACTGGCAGGGGCCAGCACTGGGCCGAGTCATGGTGCTCAGCTTTGTCGCAGGCACTGCAGGGTGACACAACAGGCAGGTGAGAGGCTGAGCCTGCTGCTGGCACTTGGGATGAGGCACAGGATGGCAGGGAAAGGGCAGGGCAGGGAGGGACCTCAGGGCACACACAGAGCAGCAACAAGAGCCTCATCCCAGGGACCTGGCTGAGCACTGGCACGCTTTCTCCCTCGCCCAACACGGGGTGTCAGCAAGAGGCTGGCTTGACCCAGTGCCAGGATGCCCACGGTGTGCCTGCAGTCATGGACACACCCCAAAACACACAGTGCTGCTCCAGGCACTGCTCAGGGGCAGCCAGAGGGAGGATCCCCCTGTTGCCATCTGGGCCACCCAGGGCAAGGAACCTCCTCCCTGCTGCTCTGCAGGTTGAGATGGGGCTCTACACCTTGTTGAGTGTTGTGAAATTGGGTGTCTAGGAATTTTGAGTGCTCTGGCCCATAGTACATTTTGTGGTGCCCCTGGGGTCCTAACTGATCATCTGGGGTTGGGGACACCCACCCAGCACTGGGACTACAGTGGACACAGAAGTGGGAGGCAGGCTCCCTACCTGGTTTGGAGAGTGGCATCACACGGGGGAAATGGCGTCGGGATGGCCTCAGCGGGCTGCAGACAGAACCAGCTTGGTTACAGCACCCCCAGGGACCCCAAAACCAGCCAGCCCCACCACCTGCTCCCTTTCTCTGGGTCCCCAGGCAGCCCACTGCAGCGGGGTGGCCCAGATGTGCCCACCTCAGGACATCCTTGCAGAGAGGTGGGAAGGGGTGCTGCTGGTAATGGCCAAACACCTCAAACACAATCGGCTGGCTCTTGATGTATTCGATGAAGGATTTCGTCACCTCCACAGCGATCTGGAAGAGAAGGAGCTGCTGAGCCACTGATGGTGCAGCTTAGCTGGGAAAGGGGACAGAACCAGCAACAGCACCCGGGATGCGGGAGGGTGTGAGACTTCCAGTCCCCTCATCCACTCCTCCCCTTGTTCAGGGATGCTCTCCCCTCCAAGACCACTGCTGTGAAATCCCAGCCTTTTCAGGTGGRTGACAGTGGCTTTTGGGCTCTCTCCTGCATATCCACCATGTCTAAGGTTGGCTTAGCTGGGTGACTGTGAGGGGCTGGGGAAGCCAGGAGGAAGCTGCTTCCCCGGGAGAGGATCCAGCCAATGGCCCTGCAGAGATCCCAGCAGCTGCAGAGGTGAAGGGGTGGTGGAAGAGGGGTACGTACATTTTGGACATGATAGAAGCCCAGTGGTGGCCCTCGTCCTGTGTTCTTCAAGGGCTCTGTTGAAAAGGCCTCATCGTGGCGATGGATGAAGCTGTGGAGGGAAGGAAGGTGGTTCAGGGGCTGTGGGATGGGGATGTGCTGGAGCAGGGAGGGGAGTGAAAGCAAGGGACCAGAACAGGAGCTGATTTCCCCAGGGGCAGCTGCCCACATTCTTGGCTGGCACAGGACTCCCCAAAGCTGATGGGAGTCTGTCTCCCTGCCTTTTGCCAGTGAGCAAACAAGTGCTTGGGCACATTCCACAGCCCTTGGGTTTGCCTCCCCATCCACAAAGCGCTCAGAGGTGGAGAGGTAGAGCTTTCCAACGCTCACCATGAGCCCCCAGGTGATGGCTGGAGCACGTGGAAGATGCAGGGCTGGGGGGCACTGGGGACTCACTTGAACTGGCAGAAGATGTCTGCGTATTCTGCGGAGATGCTGGAAGCTTGCAGGACTGTCACGCGGAAAGTGAAGATGCTG